ATAACATTGCTGGTACATCAATCACAATAAAGCCTTCTATTAGCAAGCGAGTCACACAGGAAAAGTAAGGGAAAGAAAAAATAAAGAAAAAAAGGGCAGAAAGGTTGTTACCACCGTGTAAGAGATTTCATTAATCTCCTCAATGGTGCTGAGTTCCATTCTAGGCAAAGCTCTAGGCTTAGTCAATATATCATCCAAAATTGGATCACCTATTCAATTTCCTAGGGATAAAAAAAATCAAATTACATTTGTTAGTATAACTGAACATATGGAATACTTCTACAAATGCAAATATACATACTAAGATTGCAATTCTTTGGCCTCTAGTATGTCTTGTTCAATTGATAGTTTGGGTGAATTTGTTCAATTGATTTTGATATCTCAGTTGATGGACTCAAGGAAAGGTTTTTCTTTTTTTCCCCCTTTAAAAGGTAATAGATCACGAAATATCACTCTGATAAATGCTCTGCCTGCCACGAATGAATTATAATAATAATTTTACCACATACGCCTGTTACTTGCAAATTTGTAGCGACAATAACTGGCTTCAATTCTAGTGATTCTGATATCAGTCCGCACTCATTATAGACGAATCCACCCCGACTTGTCAAGATTGGGTTCTCTAAACTGAAATACAGCAATTACAATTCAATTAGTAGTATGAAGAAAGCTAAAGAAGGCTACTTGTTAAATCTTTGCTGGAGAATGACGACATAGATACTAAGAGTTGGTTATGGTTATGTCACCAGAAAACAATAATTAAATAAAGCCATATAATCCTTTTTCCTTTTTTCCTTTTTAACTTTGGCCCAACATTCAAGACAATAGAAGCAATAGCTAACATCAAGTAACATTTGAATTAATCCAGTGGCTTCTGATATTAGAAAATCTGTTATGCAATAACTATAAGGAAATAAACATTTACCAATTTGAGATAACGTGGAAGTGAGGTTGACCAAATCTCAAAGAGGTAAAAAGTTGAATTCATTTGTTGTTGAGCAGAAATTCTCTAGCTCAAATTCTTCAATTTTGGTAAAAACACTTGACCGTCATGGCATTCATGCTCGTCAATTGCAGGTAGCTTAAATTCAGGTTTTTTTTTTTTTATAATAAAAAAAAATGGCAGCTCTTGAGATGCAGTAAGTCCTACTGATCTTTAAATTGTGCATAAATTTCACATTTTCCTTACCAAAGATGGTAGCATTGTATCTTTATTTCCTGGGTAACATAAAAGTTTGTTGGGCATCAAGATTGTGTTAAACACTCCGGCATTATGAAAAAAGACTAGCTTTTCATCGATCAAAATGAGCTGTTTATACATTAATTTCCCATCTCTTGAGTATGAAGGACCTACTCTCCAGACAATTCTAAGTTTAATAGGCCATTTGATGGTGCAATCGGAGATTTCATGAACAAATACATAAGGAGTTCCTGTTGCAGATGTTACGAGTAACAAACCTATAAATTACAAAGATAACAAACCCAAAAAAGGGCAAGGGATTCTGGGGAGGGGGGCATCACGATTGGATGAGTATATATTCATCCGCAGCTAAAATACTATTTATTCAAATATAGCATAAAACTAATAACCATGCATCATAAATTTGGAATGTAAGCATACTACCACAGCAGCAACGAATTCAGATGTGGTTAAGACAAAATCATCAAGCTATCACATGTCTTGGCAAAGTACTCAAATAAAATCATTGATAGAGAAATACTCATGTAAGGCTTAAAATGTCACAGTAGAACAATTTCGCATGATGTAAATAAAGATTTTTTTTCTTTCGAACCCATAAAGAACAAAAATTTAAGGACCATACCTTTTTGAAATGGACAAATTTCTCATTTATTCCAATAAAATCATTCATCCCAGAAAAAAATTAGGTAAAGCCTACATTATCACAATAGAACAATTTAGTACAGCGTAAATAAAGAATCTTCTCCTTTGTACTCAAATAAAATCATTGATAGAAAAATACTCACGTAAGGCCTAAAATGCCACAGTAGAACAATTTCGTATGATGTAAATAAAGATTTTTTTTCTTTCGAACCCATAAAGAACAAAAATTTAAGGACCATACCTTTTTGAAATGGACAAATTTCTCATTTATTCCAATAAAATATTTCATCCCAGAAAAAAATTAGGTAAAGCCTACATTATCACAATAGAACAATTTAGTACAGCGTAAATAAAGAATCTTCTCCTTTGTACTCAAATAAAATCATTGATAGAAAAATACTCACGTAAGGCCTAAAATGCCACAGTAGAACAATTTCGTATGATGTAAATAAAGATTTTTTTTCTTTCGAACCCATAAAGAACAAAAATTTAAGGACCATACCTTTTTGAAATGGACAAATTTCTCATTTATTCCAATAAAATCATTCATCCGAGAAAAAAATCAGGTAAAGCCTACATTATCTGTAACACCCCCAAAATAAAATACAAATAATCCATTACATAAGATCTATAAACATAATGAAATTATATACTTCATTCATCAGAGTTTCTATTACAAAAAGATATTACATGCATTATACATTCATAAACATTCATTCTGAATCTACAGCATGTAATACAAGTTAATGATAACAAAATAAATGCCCTATGGGCTTACATCTTTCCAAGATATTACTTAGTTACAACAAAAGAAAGAGTCCTAAGCTTTATACATGTAAAGCCCTCGACTTGAATAAACATTTAAACACAACTATAACAAAAAATAGAGCCTTCAGCCCTTAGTCCTCCCAAGCTATTTCCTTGGAGATGGCATGTCACCAGTACCTGAAAATGGTTTCCCAAGTAAGGTGAACCAAAGCCCAGTAGAGAATAACTAACACAGTATATGAGGTTTAATTAAGATATAAGTGTCAGATAAATGCTTCACATACTTAACCAACTTACATCTTTCCATGACCATTCAATATTGATATCCACATTTCAATCCATTTCCATTATTCATTTTAAATCAATTCATGAGTCTAGTTCATTGTTCTCTAAACAACCCAAATGAGACTATAACTTATTGGTTCACAATTCAATGACATTCATTATTCAAACACTTCAACTTTGTCATTTTATGAAATTTTCATCCGAGGGAATCGGCACCCATATATACACAAGATTTCAGGACTTTCACCCTGGACACTCTGGCCAACTTAATTTTAAATGGAGTTCATCCCCTATCTCCTCCCAAACAATGGAGTACATCCTCTATCTCCTTCAAAACAATGATACATATACAATGTATTAAAAGTATCATCATATACAATGACTATCCACAATACATATTCAATGTTTCAATTGTACCGTCATATTCAATGACATAATTTAAATGATTAGTTTCAATTCACCTAATCCTCATGCAATTTCTACAACAATCATGCTATCCTCCACCGATAGCCCAAAATAAATGTTTCTAAACAGATATACAATCTATATAACAGATAATTTATCAAATTTCCATACGTGAGTGATTTAACAAATCCAACTGCGCCATTTATTCATACAGCCTCCCAATTTTACATATTTCATAACAATTCCATTATTTATACAAAATAATCATTCAACAAAAGTTAGGGCAAATTTCTCCATTTTTTCAAATATCAATCCAAAGGCTAAATGTCACCATATTTAAGGCCTTATATCCATAAATCACAAGAGAGCCTTATATTCAAAGCCTTATATTCATTTTGTAACCCAACATAGAAAACCCTTATTTTTAATTAAGCCCAAACCCTAATTTACCCAAAATCTCATCATTTATACATAACAACAAATATCTAGGTTAAAAACCATATGAAGGTGTAGAATATCCCTACCTCAAGAGTAGAAGCCTAAAGGAGAAAAGAAAGAACTTCAAAAACGCCCAAACTCGTCTTTACTCGGATCAAAAGGAAGCCCTTGAGATGCTCAAACTCTTTATCGAAGGGAGTAGGGTAGAGAGACCCTTAGATCTAGGTGTAGTTGTAGAGAGAGTGTGTATTTTAGAGAGAGAATGAGCCGATTTAGGGTTTTGGGGTGAAAAGATACAAAAATTTTGTGTAAAAATGAGCTGCTGCGAACTGATATACGCGAGGCTCACTCGAGCAAAAGAGTTGTCGCTCTAGACCAGACACAAAAAGTGACCTCACTCGAGTGCAAGAAGTGTCACTCGAGCGCAGAATACATACCTTCAGAAGTTTTACAGACGCTCACCCTCGCTCGAGCGCAAAAAAACCTCGCTTGAGCGAAGAACTTCACATTTCCAAAAATTCTGCGACTAGGAAAAAAATACTGAGAACTCTCAAATCTCGCTCGAGTGAAGAAACAAATTTCACAAGGCTCGCTCAAGCGAAAAGAGCCTCGCTCAAGCGAAGAAGCAATTTTCTAGACAACAGTAACTAGAACAACTAGCAACTAACTTGCTCCGAACATGCCCAAGACATTTTAATACTCAAACCCAAAGAAAAATGAGAGAAAACAAGATATGGATAACAATATTAAACCATGAAACCCAAGTCCGGAATATAACAAAGGTCAGGTCAAAACTGGGATCGCTTACACCCCAATTCCATTTTTATATGGTAAAATTCACACTTAGAGGGTTCGGTTGGTGTACGGGGAGCAAATATTCCGGCAAGCCCGTATTCCTTTCTTCCGAGCTCCGTCGATGTCCGATCACCTGCGAGCAAGTAATGGTGAGCTACCCGGCGGTGTGTGGCCGGAAAAACCCTCCGACGGTCAAGTTAGCACACACCTTAGGATAGATAGAGAGAAGGGAGAGAGTGTTTGAGTGTAAGAATCCCTTACAGAGATGTTCGTGTCTTGCGTATTGGGGGCGCAGACATGCTTATATACCTTCTGAGCCCCATATCCACTCCCAGTTATCTCCTGACGCGTGGCTCTACTATCCCATCTGTCAGCATAAACCATGTCATTCATCACCTAACCTCAACTGTCTGTCATCACAGCTGGAGCTCGGCAGGCGAGCTACCCTATCCGTTGTTGTGCCATGCCGTGCTCCATACCCTAGCACTTCACTGGCCAAGACTGAGGAGGACCGGGCTAGGCGGCATCTCGGCAAAGCCTAGCCCGAGGTGCCTCCTGGGGTCGGCCTTTTTGCCGGTCAGACAACTTCCTCGGATGTCTGCGCCTTCCCGGGCGCTGGTCACTCGGCCTATCTGGCTTCGGCCATCCTCGGACCGAGCATCCTGGTCCGACCGAGCACTGCCTTGCCGAGCAGTTTTTGTCCGGTCCGGGGTGGCACACACAGCCCGAACTCTGCCCGGCCCAAGTTCTGGCAGCCCTTCTCTGGGCGAACAGTCGATCATCTCGGCCCAATGCACTGCTGGGCTTTCAACCTGCTCGGTCGATATCTCGGGCCAACTCCAGATCATAAATCACCCTCTCAATTGCCCCTTAATTCCGTCCGCGAAAGCGTGACTGGGATTACTCACTTCGACCGAGATAACATTTCTCCGGTCTTCAAGACGCCGAACCTCGTCCATGCTAGTTAACATAATTGTCTGCAAACTTGCCCGGTTATATTCCTCGGCTGACATCTTTTCTCCAAAAGTAGCTCGGCTGGCTCTTCGCCTCTTCAACCCGTCGCTTCAGTCCTGACGTCGCCATAAATAGGGACACGTGGCGCGCTGCCATTGGTCATCGAGCAGCCCACCCGCCGTTTGTGTCAGAATTTGAATTTGGGCGGTCTCATGCTTACATATACACGACCCCCATCATTTCATTTCTTCCTACTGCTGCTTCCATTTCTGACGATTCTGAAGCTCAAGCCTTCTCCTCAAACTCGACTGCCATTCTTCGTGTTCGAGGGACACGACCCTGTCCTTCACTGGTAAGTCATTCCACCATCATTTTGTTGCTATTTTCCTTCATATTGCACACATTAGGGCACAAAAACGTAGTCCTTAGGGCATAGGCCCTAGAAAACGTCTCCAACCTCCTACTATTCTTGGTGTTCTTCGTCTTCCTGAAGAACACTGAAGAACTGGGGCGAACCGGGCTCTCGGTCTTATTTTGATCCAAAAAACCAATTAAACCGGGCAAACAACATGTTTGTCGCAACCCCGGCACAAACCGAGATACCAAAAGGACTTTGTCGCTCAACCGGGCTAACATCTGGACTGCTTGGGCGACCGGGCTCCTTAGATAGAGTAGACAACCGAGGTGGTTTGGCACTCTTAATGACCGAGCTAAAATCCAACTCTTTTTGCGCGACCGCGCTCACACCTAACACTTACCATCCTTTTCCTGCAGAGTCCAAGGGGACCACTGTCATTCCTGAGGCTTTCAGGACCGAGAAGCATCCAATAACCAGTGCCAAACCTTTCAGCCGGGATACACTAGGCCGGCCACCAATGGGGAAATTCCGCTTCCTAGTGGATACTCCGGCCGCACTAGCTGCTTTCAGAGAGGACTACGGCATCCCGACCGATGTTCATCTCGAACTGGCAGAAGAAGAGACCACACCCTGGGGCAGACTTGATCAATGCCCCTTCACCGTGCTCTCAATTGTCGAAGGGGGTCTCCGTTTCCCGCTCAATCCTCTTATAACCGAGTTCCTTCGTCGCACCGGGCTGGCACCCACACAAGTGTCAACCAATACCTATAGAATAATCAACGGCGTACGCGAACTGA